CTACCAAGTATTGAGTACATGTACAGTAAATGAACATACTTTCCAGAAGGCCAACAATTCACTAAAAAATTTTTTTTATTGGTCTTATGAAGTATTCTAATTTGCTGAGATAGTGAATTGGTGGGTTTTTGTAAAATGTGAGCCAAAATCATCACAATTAAAAGAACCAAAGACTTAAACTACTTCAGTCTGTGTACATTGAATTTATTTAATACACGAGTTTCACAATTTGAGTTGAATTACTGCAATAAATGAACTTTTCCATGACATTCTAATTTATTGAGATGCACCTGTATATTTTAAAATGTAATTTATTTCTGTGATGTAAACCTGTATTTTCAGCATCATTACTCCAGTCTTCCGTGTCACACGATCCTTCAGAAATCATTCTAATATGCTGATGTTATGAAACATTTCTTATTATTATCAATGTTGGATAATCATTTTGTGGATAAACCATGATAACATTTTTTTCTGAATTCTTTGATGAATACAATTCAAAAGAAAAAAATTGATTTAAAATAGAAATAAAAAAAAAATAAAAAAAATTCGCTTTTGATCAATTTAATGTATCCTCGCTAGTCTCTTCTGCTCACCAAGGCTGCATTTATTTGATCTAAAATACTGTAAAATCAGTAATATTATTACGAGTTTTTACAATTTCAAATAATTGTTTTCCCCCCCCCCCCCCCCACACACACACACACACACACACACACACATACACACTAATTAGTGTCAAGTCAAGCAGCATCATTTGCTGGATGTTAATGAAACTTTAAATGATCAGGAATAGCAGAGCTGGACTATGGATTGGACTTCAGTTACAAAAAAAATTATTTAATTGCTTACTGATAATAAGCATTTTGTACTCAAATTAGAGAGTAGTCAACATCTTTAGGTCTACAAGAAGACACTCACTCACTCACTCACTCACTCACTCACTCACTCACTCACTCACTCACTCACTCACTCACTAATTAGTGTCAAGTCAAGCAGCATCATTTGCTGGATGTTAATGAAACTTTAAATGATCAGGAATAGCAGAGCTGGACTGTGGATTGGACTTCAGTTACAAAAAAAAATTACTTAATTGCTTACTGATCATAAGCATTTTGTACTCAAATTAGAGAGTAGTCAACATCTTTAGGTCACAAGAAGGAATATTTTCTCTGAATATTGTGACAGATAAAAGGGAGTCTCTTGCACGCTGTTGAGTGGCATTTGCATATACAACGTTCACAAGTTTGAGGTCGGTACGTTTTTTTAATGCTTCTGAAAGAAGTGTCTTCTGCTCACCAAGGCTGCATTTTATTTGATCAAAAAGACAGTAAACACAGTAACATTGTGAAATATTATTACAGTCTAAAATTATTATTACAGTTTCTATTTGAATATATTGTAAAAATGTAATTTACTTTTATGATGCAAAGCTGAATTTATCATTACTCCAGTCTTCAGAGTCACGTGATCCTTCAGAAATCATTCTAATATGCTGATTTATGCATGGACAAAATACTGTACGTTTCTTTGTGAAATTGAAATATAACACCATAATAATATACTAATATAGCACTTTTTTTTTGATTGCTTCTATTGTCCTCACTTGTTAGTCGCTTTGGATAAAAGTGTCAGCTAAATAACAAAATTTTAATATAATGTAAATGTAAATAACATTGAAATTGAAAT